GTGCACCACAAATTCTGTGACATTACAGTTATTTAAAATCATACATTATCACAACATTAGCTTTAAAAGTATTTACACATTTTTCTTTTGGTGGTGGGGATCAGACCTGGGATTTTTTGCATGCCAGGCGCGTGCGCTGTACCATTGAACTCCCACACATTATGAAACATGATTAATGCTCATAATGGTCCCAGCCCAGGATATCCCACAAGAGGCAGGATTGGCAAAGAAAAACCTTCCAACATTACATGGTGTCTGCAGTCACATACAACCTGACCCATGGACTCCCTGAAGGCCGGGCAAAGGGCAGTTAGTCACCATTCATCCCAACTGGCCTCTCACAGAGCTGATTCGGAGAAACGCTTAGAAAAAGCTTGTGAAACAAATGAATGGCTGCACGATTGAAGGAAGGCATGGATGCTGGCCCTGAACCTGGGATTCCATGTCCCCACCACACTTATACCTTGGTTCATTTGCAAAACCTGACTTTAAGTCAAAGGTGGTGGTGCGCCATTTGTGATTGCAGAGCTCACGAGGTGGGGGCAGGAGAACTGTGGGTCCAAGGCCAGGCTGCACTGTACAGTGAGTTCTTGGTCAGCCTGGGTAAAGGGGCAAGACAGCGTCTGGTTCCATAACCCTCCACCAAGCTCAGCTGTTTTATGAGCCCCTCTGAGTGGCTTAAACTCGCCACAGAGGCCGTGTGAAAAGCCGGCCTGTGTCTGGGTGGGTGGGAAGGCCAGTTAGGGCTTCGAGGTTGCCAAGGACTTCACCAGCGCCTCAGTGTTTGCAGGGATGGCAACAGTTTGAAGAAGTCCCACGCTCCAGTTCTTCGTGCCTTTCTGATCCCACGCTGTTTTGTAGACGGCTCCAGAGATGTGTGAGGCAAAGCTTCCAAAGAGGCATCGCATTAGCAAGTGGGAGCACCTTCTCCCAGCTACATCCATCTCACACTCAAGCCGCTAAGAACCACAGCCAAGGAGCTGCCATTCTGACACGCTGTACTGCACCAGAGCGCCGGCGCTGCACGGACCACCCCATCCCTGCCTGCTCTTCCGTAGAGGGGCTCCTCAGACCTGTACATCCTGAAGAAAGCATCCAGCAAGGAATAGTCTAGACTCACTGAATGACTACCCTCTGAGCTTATTTACTGCGGGCCCTTTCCTTATCCAAACTGAGAAGCCCTTGTTTGATCAGAACCAGTAATGCACAAGAATAAATGAGTGCCTCCTTTGGTTACGTATAAATTCATTTCATTTGACAACCTCGATAGTTTCATTTCATTTGACAACCTCGGCTTGCTCAAGACTATCAGACTCTAGCACACAGCCAGCTGTAACTTTAAATTGATTGTCCCCTTCCCCGGAACAGACACAGTTTCCAAAGACTTGGCTAAGACAGTTTCTAAACCACCTGTTTTACATGTTTCTGAAGAAGAAAATGGGGAGGGGGGACCAGTTTATATAATTTTATATGTGATGTTTTATCATCATCTTCAGGGACCCTCTGAAACACTCTTGATGAAATCGGAAGTGTCTATGACTTTGTTGTAACCTTCCTTGATGTGGTTTGAATGTGAAATGGCCCTTACCGACTCACATGTTTAAACACTTGGTCACCAGGTGGTGGCACTATTTGGGAAGGTTGCGGAACCTTTGGGAGGCAGAACCTTGTTGGCAGGTTATATCACTGGGACAGGCTTTGAGGGTTTATAGCCTGGTCCAAACTACTGTTCTTCTAGGTGCAGATGCAATATGACAGGCTGGCTTCGTGCCTTCCCTGCTGCAATAGACTCACCTCCTGCTGAAACTACATGCCAAAATAAGCCCCTTCCCACCAAAGTTTTTAATCACAATAGAAGAGAAACACACACACACACACATTCACACATGCTCACACATGTGCACACGCACTCACACAGATTCACACACACACACCCTAACATACATGTTCTCACCCTCTCACACGCTCATGCACACTCACCCACACATACTAACTCTCACACACACATGCTCACACATTCTCTCTCTCTCCACACACACACTCTCCAGCCTCATCCCTGGACCGTCTACTGCTCACCCTTCAAAGCTCCAGGCACACCAGCTTTCTTCCAGTTCTGCCAACTTAGAAGGACAAGGGCCTTGGCACACGGCGCTTTTCACAGCTCCAGGTGTCTCTTCCCGTCATGTCCCCCTCGGCATCTCCTGCTCATCCTTTAGATCTCGTGTTCAATGTCAGTTTCTCGAGGAGGCTCCTCTGACCAGCTGACCCAACCACCCCCCCTTCTGTTTCTCACAGCATGTATTGCACCTTGCATCACCGTGGCTCCTGTGTGCTTACTGGGTTGGCATCATCTGCCCTTAATAAGATTTTGAACTCCGCGCCGTGAGAACAGTGACTGTTTTTGTTGGCCGCTGCTAATCTCAACAAATACCCGCTGACTAAATGGAAAAGTGAATTCAAATTCATTCCCACTTTTAATTGATTTTTTTCACAAATATAAGTTGGGCACAATGAGTGGTGAGAACTAAGACTACACACAGCTCGCTCATGGTCAAAGCAACCTGGCTACCAGGGATGAGGTGAGGGAATGGGATTGCATTGGTAGAGGTGCAAGGCTTGACATTCAAGAAAGAACCATTGACAGACACAAAATGTAGTCTTGTGAAGGAAGGAAAAGGGTGGGGAGCTGAGTATATCCAGGGAGCGAAGGGGGTGTGGCAGACAGACAGGTCAGGCAGGTTCACGGGAAGGTAAGGAGCACTTTCAAATGCCACAAGGTCAGGCTGGCCAGAGAAGAAGAACATGTAGATACCCACAAGGAGAGAGGGGGGCAGGTAGGAGTGAGGCTCACCTGGTACCAAACACAGCTCTGTGCCGCAGTTACAGAGACCAGATGCTAAGTCTAGGGGAGATACATTCATGTGGGGACGAAAACCACTGTGCCTCGTCCTCGAAACAAGAATAGGCTGCCATTGACCCTACACTCTGAGACAGCTGGGCCAGCATTCAGTCCCTGGTAAAGGGCAGTCTCCGTAGAAGAAAACAGGACCAAATAATGATGAAGCATTTCATAAACCAAGATGCCCAGCGACTGGACTGAATGAACACCAGGAGCTTGCCCAAATCCTCACTTCTACAATGTCGTCATGGGAACTGCAGTAGGCTCGGGTGCCCTCGGGGTATTGTATTTCTTTACAAATTATCTGTGGGCTGGAGAGCTGGCACAGCCGGTAAAAGCACTTGCTTCCAAGCCCGATGACCCAGGATCCACACAGTGGAAGGAGAGAACCAACACTGGCATGCTGTCCCCTGACCTCTATGGCCATATTGTGGCATGTGAACATGTAAAATTAGTAAATAAACATTTTAAATTACAAAAACTGTCCAAAAATTGGCTTTCTACCAACCTAATGCCCCATAGACTGTCAACAGAGAAGGCCGGAGACTACATCAATAATAATAATAATTCAATAATGGTAAATAATAGATGCGACTTATAGACACTAGGTAATACCTTCTGCATCTGTTCCAAGATGTGTGTATGTATTAATACATATGTGTTTGTATATGTGTATCAATTGCTTAATTTTTACTTAAAAAACTCAAATAAAATAGTTGCTGTTATTATCCCATTTTCCAGAAGGGGAAAATGAGACCCAGAGAGACTGACATTATTCAGCAATGTGTCAAAGGACTGACTCCCAGACAACCCAACTCTGGAGACGAACTAATAATGTCCATTTCTTTATTTGTTTTTCACAGTTTATAAAGCCCTTCAGAAGAGAAGTAAATATTATCTGATCCTCTTAGGAACACTGAATAATAAAGAACATCTTTTCCTGGTGGACAATTGGGGAAACTGAGGCTCACGGGCATTAAAACTCTGGGGTGAGAAATCAACTAGGCTGTTGCCAGCCAGAGAATTATTTTCCACAGCCCCTCACTCCTGACGTGCCCACATCCCCTCCCACTTTTCCTTTCCACTGCGTGAGGATTAAATTGCATCTACACAATTGGCTATGCAGAAGGATAAAAACCGAATCTAGAGTTTTGGGGTTTGGCATGGAGGTCCTGGTATCTAAAAACGTGGCATTATCTCCAACCTGAAATATGACTTCATACGACCTCAAAGTCAGTGAGTATCTGTGGGAAGGCAGCAAGAGGGAGAAGCAGACCAAGTGCGCAAAGATGTAATTGCTGGCTTTCTTGGAGCGGCAGGCTGACGCCTGTCACAGGGACCTTGCTGCAGTATCAGCCTGGGAGAGTGACCAGGAACGTGGAGAGAAACCAGCAACCCTAGTCTGGGTCCACACCCCGAGCCCTCATTGTGTCGTTTTTTTCTGGTTACCGCCTGCCTTGTCTCCATGCCATCTCCCCCCCCCCTCGCATGCAATGCGGGCGATGCCCAACATTGTCATTGAACCTCAGACTGCTTCGAGGACATGTCTGTCTCATTTCTCCCATTACCCCAAGAGCAAATCAATTATTTCGGGTCCTCCCGTGGCTTCTAGTAGCCAGGATCTCCCACAACTCAGCATCTTTCCTTCACATCCTTCGTATGGAATGACATTTACTTCTGATCCGCAGTGACACCCCCCATAGTGCTCGCGTACACACACACACACACACACACACACACACACACACACCTCTTAACTGCAGTCGGATAATGCTGACATGGTTAGGAATCGGAAGTAATCCTTATTGCGACCAACTACCCCAAGAAGGGCAAGGTGGAGGACAGGGACCCAGAGAAGCTTAAAACAGGTCTGGCTCCTTAGCAACGTGACCCGCCCCCATCCAACCCCAAAGGCAGTGGCACAAATCCTCGCAGCTAGGGCTATCGATACCCCCCTCTGCAGCGGCTGCTATAGAAACAGCAAGAGGAACACACTGGGCTGAAATTAAACACCCAGGCTGGACCGAGATGAGTGGAGATCGGTCACCATGGCAACATGCCCAGAGAGGCACCGAGCAGCGCGCTGCGCGGGGATACTCACTCCATCGCGGGGATCCGGGTGGCCCGGCACACTGCTGCGGGGCTCCGGGCGCTGCTGGCCTCTGCCGGGGCCGGGGCGCTCTGGCCTCTCACAAGGTGGAGCAGCCAAGCAGTCCCCTGGTCCCCGCCCGCCTCCCTCCTCCTTTGGAGCACTGGAGAGGGAACGCTCTGGCTCTCGCAGATCCCAGCCTGCGAATAAAACGGGAAGCAATTGGATAACGTTATTTGCCGGGCGCTAGACCGAGCCTCTTCACTTAAGGGGATCTGGGAGGGAGCGCGCCACCAGCTGTGCGCCGGGCAAGGCGGCTACCGCGCGCCCTGGTCGTCCCCCCCACCCCCACCCGGGCGCCTGAGGCTCCAGGTGCTCTCGCGACTCCCCTGGGACCCACGGCGGCGCCTCGTAGAGCTCTGGGAGAAACGTGGGAGGGGGCGACGGGTGGCACGGCCCAGGGGTCGTAGGGACACGATGGAGTCCTTGGCAAGGTAGCAGCTGTCGCCGCCTAGAAGTTGCAGGCGGCTTCTGGCCCCTGCAAAATAGCAAGTATTGCCCTCAGCGGGTCTTGTCTGGGACTGCGAAACGCCATTATTTACGCCAGCACAGCCGGCATCTGCATCTGCGGGAGGGTACCAGGAAAACTCCAGCTGCGCTGCCGCAAAGTTCATGCGGCGTTTTCCACTTGGGCGACCCCACGCCCTTCTCGGTGTCACTCCATATGCTCCGATTTCCTGCCTTTCCTGCCTGCCCGGAAGATATTCCTCAGATGCCCCTGGTCTGTCTTCTTGAAGACTTACACTTGGATATGATTTCCAAGTTACCTCAGCCCCACCCTGTGGTAATCAGCTCCCGGGAGTCATGAATTCTGTGCTTATGCCCACTGGAAGCAGGCTCGAACCCCTGCAATGCACAAGTGGGACAGGCTTCAGTGTTCCCATGCACCACTGCCTGGTCCGTCTACGGGGGACGGGGGGAGCAGTCCCTGCTCTAGCCGAGCTCCGGGCTGAAGGAGAAAGACAGTGCACAGAAAGAAAAACCATGGCTGAAAATGTTACAAATAAACAAACAAACCCGGCCAGGGAGAGAGAGTTCGGTGGGTAAATGTGCTTTGTCAAGCAAGCCTGGAGACCTGAGCTGCATCAAGGTGCAAGGTGAGAAGCAATTCCGTAAAGTCGTCCTCTGACTTTCACATGCCCTGCCACACCCATCTACTCTCAGATGCATACAAGACACGGACGCATGCGCCTAATAATTTTTAATGAGAACATGCTGTGTCTGATCATCTCAGGTTAATTTGTGATGTTTGCAGAACTCTGTGAGTAATCCAAAAATCATTGTTTTTTTATTTTTTAATTCCCACTGAGTGATTTTCTTGGTAACTGACATCTTTTAAAAAGTATAGCTGGGTGTAGAGATAGGCACCCCTGCAATCCCAGCCCTGACTGGGTAAGGTGAACTGCAAGTTCTCAAGGCTAGCCTGGGCTACAGAATGGGATAAGACTCTGTCTCACAAAAAAAAAAAAAACCATTGAGTGACCTGTCTGGCCAGATGCTGAGAAAAGTCTCTGCCAGTCTGGAAAGGACAGAGGACACAGACAGGGAGGCAGCAGCTGCCAACATCAAGTGAGGGCTGTGGGTTGCAAAAGCCCCCACCTATTCTTCATAAGGACAAGACCGCCAGGTTGAGCGGTAACTGCAAGGGAGGCTCCTGCTTTCCCTCTAGTGAGTGAGTCGGGAAGCCAGAGCCAGGGACGGCTCTTGGAGCTTCTGTCCATGAAGGCTTGTCACCTGGAAGACGCGGAGACTCTGGTGTCAGTTTCGGAAATTACCAAAGCCTCTTATCGCCGGAAACCTTCTCCAGCTGCCAGCCTGCCTTGACGCTTCCCTCCCATTGGCCTCCATAGTCACCAGCTGGACACCCCTATCTCCTGTATCCTCTCTGTCGTAGATTGGATGCAGGTTTGAGCACTGATGAGGCTGAAAGAGAAAAACTATTTTGTTTCCCACTCCGAACGGCTGTGTGTGTGCACACGTGTGTGCATGTAGAGGCCAGGAGTTGAACCTGGGTATTTTCCTCAGCTGCTCTCCACCTAATTTTTTTTGAGACAGGATCTCCTTGAAGCTGAAGTGTACTGGTTGGTGAGGCTGGCTGGCCACAAGAGCTCCAAAACATCAGCCCCTCTGCTTTGCCAACACTGGGGATAGAAATCGGCGCTGCTCCATCCGCTGTCTTTACATGGGTTCTGGGGACCCAACCTTCAGTCCTCATGCTTGTATTGCAAGTACTTTACTAATGGAGTCCTCTCACCCTCGTCTTCTACTCCTAAAATTTCAGAGATAAACAGTTCTGGGTCAACTTACCAAGTGTTTTCAAAAAAGGTAAAAGACCCAGGATCCCTCAAATGTTTGCTTTTCTATGTGGACTTCCTTCCTGAAATCATTTCATCGTCCAACTTGTCCGCGCCTCACCGGCTCCCGCCTTCGTGTCTGTGTTTCAGCCCTCACAGAGGGGGGAAGAGCAACAAACAAACAAACAAAAGGCCAAGGACATGCGTCAGCTGCCTCCTCTCAGGATTCTTCCGCTCACACTACTCTGTCCACAGTCCAGTCACATGGTGTCCCAGTTAAGTTTCCAGAGAGGCTGGGCAAAGCAGACCTCATTCGGCAGTCAAGAACACAGCCAAAATGAGGGAGTAAGGCAACCGTCAGTCATTGGTCAACCCATGTCTCAAACTTCAGCATTCTGGTTTCTGCCCCCCTCACCCCCAAGTCCATGGCCACTGCTCACCCTAAATTCCCCAATGTCAAGTCCAATGGAAACGTCTCGGTCTTCTTGTGTGATTTATATAAGGAGGGTTTGACATTTTGATCGATCATTCTCCTCCCCTCCTCTTCCTCCTCCTCCTTTTTTTTTTGAAGTCAGTTTTACTGAGTGTAACTTAGAGATGGTAAAACTGATTATTTTATGTGTACACACTCGTGAGTTTAGATGCGTTACTCATTTGTTTATTCTTAAGGAAACAAGAATGGTAGCATGGGTAATGTATTTATTTACTCAATTGAAAATATATTGACAATCCCAGCACTGGGAGACAGAGGCAGGAGGATCTCTGTGAGTTCGAGGCCAGCCTGGTCTACAGAGTGAGCTCCATGACAGCTAGAGTTACATAGAGAAACCCTGTCTCAAAAAACCGAATGTGTGTGTGTAAGTGTATATACATGTACATATACATGCATATTTATGTATATGTATATGTAGAGAGGGGTGGTGAGGAAAGATGGCTCGGAGATTAAGGTATCCGATACACAGGCTGACAACCTGGGATCCCCAGACCCCGCATAAAGGTGGTAAGAGAGAACAAATCCACACAGTTACCCTCAGAGCTCCACACACATCCATGACATTCATGTCCACATACACCATGTATACATTCACAGCAATACTAAAAATGTAAAGATATTGTCATACCTAGCTGCAAAACAGCAGAATATAACCACTTTCCAAGAATTAATTATGAACTAACAACTAGTTAACTAGTAGCTGACCTTACCGAGGATACCAAGTTTACATTAAAACTTGGAAAGTTCTCCAGTTGAAAGTCTGTACCTCAGCTGCTCCAAACTTGAGACTAAAACTGGGAAATTAAGAAAACAGCATCACAGGTCCCCGAGACAATGCACTTAGTTTGGGATATGATCACAGGGTTCTTTCTAAAGTCGTTCTTCCTTGAGAATGTCACACATGTCTGCAATATATTTTAATCATGCAAACTCCTTGCTTACTCTCCAACTCCTCCCAGGTCTCACCACCACCACCCACCTCATCATTCTCCTCTCAAAGCCATGCCCTCCTTTCTTAGCCACTAATTAGTGCTATTCTTGAGTGCCCAGGTAAAGGACCAGCCACTGCAGCATGGACAACCTAACAAGGGACACTCCCCCCCTCCAGACAAAGATGGGACGTCATGAGTCCCTCCCCCATCTATGACGAATTTAACTGCCTTCATCTTGCCTCGGCTTTGACCACAAAGTTCTTTTTTAGTATGACATTTTATTAATGTTTTGAAACCTCTGTATAGCCTATTTTGATCATAGTCACTCCCCACTCCCTCCCAACTTTTCTCGGATCCCTCCAGCTCCCCGCCCAAGCACAACTTCCCATCCTGTTTGTTTTGTTTTTTTCTTCTTAATAATCCAAAGTCCAGTTTCTGCTGCCCTTAGACTCATGGGTATGGAGACATTCACTGGGGCACAAGGTTCTTAAGGGATTCATGAAAACTGTGAGACCTTTTTGGCTCAGGGTCGGAGGGAGGGGGGCCTTTTGCTTACATCAAGACAGTTCGCTGACTTCGTGAAGGCTGCCCACTGTCTAAGGACCCAAGACCCCTCCACCTGCCTGGAGGGTGCAACCTGCTTGCCTTTGTGTTGTTTTGCTCTTGCCGACTTCTGTAGATGAAAAGAGAAAAGTCTGAAGCAGTAAAATGCCTGGCCACGTCCAGTATTAGCAAGAGTAAAACCTGCCACCTGATCCGATGTCTTCAGCCTGGTGGTCTAGAAGAGAAGCCATCTAAGAAAGAACATGTAGGGAGTTCTCTGAAATTGTATTGCCTAAGTTTTTGAGTGAGAAATCTTACATTGAGAGCCATGTGACCTTCAGAGGGCTGCCAGGAATTCTGGGTAGCATTGTGGCTTGGGAAGATGAGGAAGTTGAAGGGTGAGGTCCACTGCTCTAAGTAGGATTTCAGTGTTCGAAAAGAACAAGCTGTACACAGGACTCGCAACAGCATTTGGCTTGCTTGGTTCATGTCTTCGAAGTTACTAGGAATAGAAGCATGTAATTAGAAGGGGCGGGAGGGAAACAGGAAAAGTGTTACTTCAAACTAATAGCTCTGAGTGGGGAGAAACGTGTGGCAGTAGCACAAAGCAACACAGCAACATCCACTTGGGATCACTGGGCAGAGGAACGCACAGCATCTGGTCGCAAACCCCCCCCCCCCCCCGCACACCAAGGGCAGCCGTGCTCAGCACCTGTAGTTAGGAATAGGTGAGTCTTCGGGTTTTCCCACTCTCATTGTTCCCCATGTTGATATTTTGTTAAGGTCAACATTTACTTATTCAGCAAATGTGCTCTGTGTGTGTGTG